TGAGGATGCTGCGGTCGCGGGCCCGGGAGCCGGAGGCGGGCAGGCGCGCGATGTCCTGTCCTGTCCTGTCCTGTGCGCTTCGCCCCCTGACGCCGGGGTGGGACCCGCGGTTCTCACCCGGCCCGCGAGGTCCTCTCCAGGGTGCCGCTGGCGGCGAACCCCGATCCCCAGATGAACCCAGAGGTTTCATATAGGGATCCACAAAGTCATCCAGATGGCTGCAGGCTTTCCCGGGGCGCTGCGACCAAAGAATTGCCCTTTTATTTTTCCTCACTCAAACCCCCCCCCCAAACCGAGTGGAAAGTAAGAGGGTGCTGGAGAGCCAGCCCCTGCCTTAGACTGGTTGGACGAGACCCTCCTGCCTCCAGCCCCTTTCCTCCCTCACGAAGTTCCTTCCCACTGCTCCTTCCTTTCCTTGTACTCCCTTATCAACTTGTGAAGGTGCGCATGTATCCTGCACCTTTTCTGAGATCACTTGTTAGGTTGCATCCATTTAATTAATTTTCCTGAAGTTGGGCATCCTTGTCCTGCCAAGTCAATTTTATCCTGTAGCATTCAGATGATACAACCGATGAATTTTAGAAAAGCATAATTACAGAAAGAGCCTTTCTTATCAGAGGTATCTTTCACAGAAACAAATGTTTCTGCCATAAACACTCCATGGAGCTCTCTAACTGCCCATTTAGGGTTTGTTTTGTTTCTTTTTCTGGTCATTTGACCCAGGAAGACCTGTACAGTGTCATTCTGTAGACTATACAGTACTATCAGAAGATGATGCTGCAGAAGTGAATTGTTGGGTTGTTCTTTTTTCCTCCCTCCCTCCCTGGACTGTGGCTCCTTTGAACGACTGTAGTTATTCCACAACAGAAGGAGCTTTGTGTGTGGACAAATACAAAATAATATGGTTACATAAAATGCTTAGTTTGGTGTGAACAAAGAAAGGCAAATATTTAGTTTGTGGTAATGTGCGCATGCCCCATTCCATTGGATTTTTCACAGCTGTCGTTTAGTAAAAGAAAATAGTCAAAGTTAGAAATATATTTCTTGTATTCCTGCAAAGTTGTTTGTGGTGCAGGAAATTAGTGTCTTGTTTATACGACTGCCCTTCATTCTGGCCTTCATGCCATGCCCACTGAAGCTAACTGAAAGACTTCACTGGGCTTTGGATTGCAGATTAATTCTGGGATTTGTTCCATGGATAGTCAGTTCATTTCTTCAGTTCTGTTGTTGGGAGTTATGCATGTAAAGCTCTCGGATGATGAAACAATGGCCCACTTCGTTTTCAGTCCAGGCTCTTCTTAAAAGGGTAGGATATATGTAGTCATAGGTTTGCTTTGAAAGTTTTTGTTTTGTTTTGTTTGGGTTTTTTTGTGTATTTTTTTCAATAAAAATTGGTGGAGGCTCTGCAATACCTTTTGGAGTGCTTAAGAAAGACATTCTGAATTTCCTGCATCCAAACAAGTTTTGGTTGCCTGTGTGCCATGTTCATGTTAAAGAAGCTGTTCTTTAATAAGAATATGTAGAGCTTTTAAATACAAGTATTTTGCTAAAATATACTTCAGTTTTATTGAAACTGGCAGAAAGTTACCACTTTTCCCTACCTAGGTCTAACAGTGCTTTTGATTGGAATTGTTTATCACTGAACCAGTCTAACCATAAAAGGCAAATCAATATGATTTTATATTGGTTTCAGTTTTGAAATGCATTGTCAGCTTCTACACTGAAGGTTGAGATCTATGACATTATGCATATATATATCTTCTACAGGCAAACAGCTGCACCGGTTCCGGTATTCGAGGATGGCTAAAGACTTCCGCTACTACTTCCAGCATCCGTGGTCTCGCTTAGTTGTGGCTTACCTGGTGATCTTCTTTAACTTTTTAATATTTGCTGAAGATCCGGTGTCTCACAGTCAAACGGAAGCCAATGTTATTGTTGTTGGAAACTGCTTTTCATTTGTATCAAATAAATACCCTGAAGGAGGTGGCTGGAGATTCTTAAAAGTGTTTCTATGGCTACTTGCCATTCTCACGGGACTGATAGCTGGGAAATTCTTGTTCCATCAGCGTTTGTTTGGTAAGTTTTCTAATTCACTAGATGACTTACTGTTAATGCTAGCACTTTATGGCTTTTTCTTTTACAAATTTTTAACTCGTGCAATAAAAACTGGCTATAATAACAATAATGCCGTACAGAATGAAAGAAGCCATATCACAGAGTACCTCCATGTGGAAATTAATGTCTGCTTATGCTAGGGTCTTGCTAAGGCCTTGAACTGAACATGATGTAAAAAGGGATTGGATATTTATATGGGTATCAAGATTATCCTGAGCTGTCATAATGAATAACTCCAAATTTTGGAAGGGATATTCAGCCTTGTGTCAGGGCTTAAACTGCATTTGAAGTATTAGAAACAAGGATGAGCCTTGCCTAGGGTGGGATGTCGGGAGACAGGTTAGTCCACCTGTGCCTGCCACAGAATTCTTACACCTTCCCCGGAGCACGTGGTGTTGGCCGCTCTTCGAGACAGGATACAGGACAAACTAGACCTAATTGTGTGATGCAATGGTAATTCCTCTGTTGCGTGTTAACGGAACTAAAGTGGGGATTGTTAGTAAAGCACCTTCCCATAAAGTGACTGATTAATCATTTTCTTTTTCCTTTCATATTAATTTGGGTTAACCTGTATTAAGAGAAAAAGAAGATAAGTGTCAGATAGCTTTTTAATCTGGAAAATGTAAAGACATTCATCTAGGAACAAAGAATGTGGTCCATAATTATAGTATGGTGGATTCTGTCCTGAATAACGGTATGTCTGAAAAAAAGCTTTGAGGTCACGGTGGATGATCAGCTGAGCATAAGATCAGATTTTGATGCTGTGGCCTAAAGGGCTTAAGCAGTTGGTTCCTTAAACAGCAGAATCTCGAGTAGGGGTGGAGAGGTTATATTACCTCTGTGTTGAGTGCTGATCAGACTACTGAGGGAATACAGTTTTCACTTCTGCTATCCCCAATTAAATAAAAGAAGTTAGAGAATTGGAGACAGGTCAGGGAAGAGCTGTAAGAATGATTAAAAGACTGGAGAATATACCTTATTGTGGGAGGCTCAAAGAACTCTGTCTGTTTTGCTTTTCAAAGTGAAGGTTAAAAGGTTACTTGATCATTCTGGAAGAAGTTGTGTGTGTGGAGGGGAAATAATTGGATAATGGCCTTTTCAAACTAGCAGACTAATATGTTGCAGTGCTGGGACACAGAATTTAGCCATATTTAGTTTAAAATACTGTGCACATGTTTAACAAGAGTCATTAGCCATTGGGATAACCTGTTAACTGGTGCATTGCATTCTCCATCTTTGGCAATTTTTAAATCAAGTTAGGTCATTATTCTAAAATATGTTCTTGTCCTGACAAGAATTAATTCAAGGAAGTCTTATGGTCAGACTTACACAGGAGGTCCCTTCAGCCTTATAACCTATGAATCACTATTCAGTAAACACGGTATCTAAATATAGACTATTTACAAAGACTGATCTGTGCATCCGTGTATAAGTGGTGTATTGTGTATTTTATACAGCAGTACTGTAGTGTGATCAGAGAGAAGGCGAACTCCAAAGGTTATGTCTATGCAGCGGAGAAAAGTCTGATTGTTTGAGTGGACTGCATACCCAAGATAGCTTTAATCTAGCTAGCATGGCTGACAGCAATAATGAAGACAAGTTGGCATGGATTTCAATACAGGTAAACAACCCAAGTATATACACAGGATTCCCAAAGGGCTTGTCCTGTCCACATTGAAACCTGTGTGTTGCCAGGTCTTTACTAATCTTGTAATCCATGCTGGCAACATTAAAATGAGAGTGGATGTGCCTACTTATACTACAGATGCACTTTTATTTTGCAGTGTATATATATCCTAAGTAAGCAGCAGAACTGGAGAATGATCTGCTACTCAGTTCTTTGCTTTATTAAGTTCTTCCTGCAATACGTCCTGGTGTTGCAGTTTCAAGAACTGATTTTAGTTTACTGTAAATTACAAGTAGGATGCATTATAGCCTGTCACTCTTCATTTCATTTTTTCTTTGTCTGTTGTCTCTCATTTCTATTATCATTCTATCCTCCTTTCTTTTTTATTCTTGGTTTCATTGCGGGGGAGGAGGGGGAGGTTCCTGTTGTTTACCTTATTCCTTCTTTTCTGCCTAGTTCCATTTCCTAGAGACCTGGAGTTAGTTACTCCCTGCAGCCTGTTCATAGCTTCCTGCAGAAGGGAAACTAGGCAACACAAGTTAATTTCACAGTATAAAATCTTGGCTCAAAATCAGGCTGCAAAGCGAAGTTGAGAGAGTTTAGTCAGTTTCTATATGCAGTTCAGCTCAGTTTAGATGGAAGGGATTGAGAGAGATTTTCTTTCCTTTTTTCCTCTGTTCCTCCCATATCCTCTATTAGTGAATTTGCCCATTGTTTGTGATGGGAGAGTTAGAATAAGTGAATCCTAGTATGTGCCCCAATTTGACACCTAGTTGTTAAACAACTACTGTTACCTTGAGTTATAGAAGTAAGAGACTAGGTTGAAACATGCTAGGCTGCTACATAAAGAGAGAGTGGCAGGCCTGGGAGCCAACTCTAGACTATATTTTCCTGAATTAATGAAGAAATAAGGGCATGGCGTTTTCCCCACTCAGTGTATTCTTATTAAAGTCTGTGAAATAGTACTAGCAAGTTCATATCTTGATTGTAATAGTTTCCTTTGAAATACTGTATTTTTTATTCTAAGTAATAGACAGTGAAGCCATTGAGCATAGTAAGTTCTGTAACGTCTTTCTTATATCTTCTGCTGACTTAAAAGGAAAGCATATGATAACCTGTGTAAGGAGTACAATAAATAAATACAATTACCACCCCTACCCCCTTCAGTGAAATGGATACTTCTATATTTATAAAAAAAATGTCTCCAGTGGGTAGAGGCATTATCTAGGAGTTCTTATCTTTATTGTGTTCAGTAAGAATAAATGGAATTTCAGAAGTGCCTTTTGGCTGTTCACTATTATATTCTTCACGAATAATCTCGGAGTACCTTTTATATTTGGTTAATTCTAGCATTCTTTTATGCTTTTAATTCTACGTTTGACATTGCAAGTTCATAGATGAATAAGAAAATACAGAAGAGGGAAGAATAGAGAGATGTACCTGCCATTCTTTGTTGCATTTTAAAAGATAATTACTTTAGATTTGCGGGGGGGAAGGGAAATAGAATTTGATTTAAACTCGCTCTAGGGATAGCCTCAAGCAGACTGATTTTTCTTTTATTTGCCCTGATAAAAGAAAAAATAACTTATGAACTGACCCCTATTAAATTAAATTGTATATCTGAAAATCACGCTCAAAGTTCTAAATGCTGACTCAGAAATAATCGTGAATCAGCTCTTCTGCATGTACCACATTGCTGTGCATTTTTTTCAGATGATACCCCAAAGCAGTCAGTGAAGTGGAAAAGTTACCTCTTATTCAAATTGGGTTCCACACGTTATCAGCTCACATCCCTGCATTTTTGTATCTTATAGAGTCCATTTTTAAAACTTAACTCAGGCCAAAATTCTTTTGATTTCAGAGGCATTGATTGGGCCTAAAATGTAGTGTTTGGTATAATGTGTGGTAGAACAACCTTATGTAAACCAGAACCAACATAAGCATTTAGATACGTCTTCCATTTTTGTAGTTTCTACCAGTTTAAGAAAGAGCCCCTGTACTTAAAATGGCAAATATTTCTTAAAAACATAATATCCAAAAAGTGGAAAATATATTTTGGCTGGGGTTCTTAGTTATAATTCTCACTTCATGCATGCTCGTTAAATACATCAGCATTTGAAAAAGCAGTGGTTCTCAACCTTTTTTAAAATCAAGGCACCTGTTGTTAGATTCAAGGCACCTCTCAACATGCCAGCTCTTAGTTTTCACTCATTTTTGACTATGGAAAAATAATAGAACTCAGAAAGAACTGCAAAGAACTCAGAATGTTTTTAATGCTATCGATTCCTCTTTGATCATGTTTGCACATGTACAAGTGCAAACATTATGTGGCACCATGTGGCACCCTTGAAATGATCTCAAGGCAACCCAGGGTGCCTAGACACCTTGGCTGAGAATCACTGGTTTAAAGATATACTCCTAAAATAACACGCTTACCCACATGTACCACATGCATTTTTTTGTAGTTAGTCATCCAGAACCATAAAAGATTAAAAGATTGAATAAAATTTGGTTATTATGGCTTAACAGCTAACAAATATGCCTGCATTTTTACAGATTTTAGTTACTCTCTGTCCATTGTTTTTGGAAAGGAATAATTGAATATTTTAGTGGTAAATTGTTGTCATATACATGACCTTATAGGTAACTAGGGTCAGGTATTTCTGTTTAAACGGGAGACACAGTTAGTGGAGACAAACAAATACTGAGATTTTATTGAATCTGCAACATGGAGGCCTAAAATATACAATTTTTTAGGTTTAATTTAAGTCTGTGACCACTGGAACAAATACCAAATCAAACTGAATCAAGATTTTTCTGTTGAAATTGCATTATTTTGTGGTCCTGGAAGGACAGTTACAGTTTTAAAAGGCACAGAAGTATGTTTAAGACTGATTGCCTGCTTGTTTTGTTGCCTGGGAAGACCTGACATTTTTTAAAGTGTCTTTATATCAAATTGTCTTAAAGTGTTGTACAAAATGTATAATCTGATTACTTTAACCACTCACTGAAATGTACCTGTCCCTGGGTGAAAGGGAATATCTTTTAAAGTATAATGTTAGAGTGCATAATAATTGAGGAAGTGAAGAATATTATATGCAGAGGGCTGTTACGCAGAAAAGAATTTAGCTAGGACGGCAAGATACTAAGTACGGAAAATGTAGCTAAATACAAAGAGAACTGATATTGGAATAAGCAGTGAATTTATTTGTTCCTGGTGAATGAATATTTTGAAATAACTAGATGCATGTTGTTATAAAAGTTGATAGACAAAGCATGTTAACATATAGTACAAAGCCATTTATCACTAAGTGGGAAGCAATGCCATCACAGT